AAAAAATTTTTGAGCATACTTTCCCAATATACCTTAATATATTTATTTTTATAAATTACATTGGAGCTACTATATTAATATTATGCAAATTAAAAAGTATATATAAAAAACATAAATTTAAAAGGACTAGATGAAAATTAATACAAATAAAAAAGCAAAATTTTCTTCCCATACACCAAAGGACTGTCTTACATATCCCCAGGAGTTTACTCAGGGAAGATTATTAAAGTCAACATTTAAAGTAAAACTAATAGTTTTGTATGTCTTTCCTAGGACTACAACCTAATCTTATTAGATCTTCCCACTCCAACGCTGAGACAAAGGCAAGCACCAACCTATAGAAAAGAGCCAAGGCCTTCAGCAAAGCTGGTCTAAGCAAAAGCAGGTCAGAAACTCGTCTTAAAATACCAGTTTCATGGAATAATTAAGAATTCATAATAATGAATCACTAGCGAAGTGCAAAGAAACCATCTTATCTGGAGCTTTGAACCCCTTAAAGCAATACATCCTAGCACCAAGTCCCAGTAAATGTCCATGTCCATCCGTATCAGCTCAGGAAAGGCTTGGAGGAACCCCGAGCTCCCCCATAAGACCAAACATGCCCTCGAAATAAGTGCACTATTAATGTGATGGTTAAGGTTGTGTGCCAACTTGGCTGGGCCACGATTCTCAGTGGTTTGGCAGTTATGATGTAGTTTGGCAGCTACGTAATGATATAATCACCTCCATGATGAGATCTGCTATGAGCAGCCAATTAGTTGAAAGAGAATTTCCTTGGGAGTGTGGCCTGCATCTAATATATGTGGACTCTCTGGCAAAGCTGGTGGGGTTTTGCTCACTCTGGATCCTGCATCTGGCTCCTGGTCATCTGATCTCTGGTTCTTGGAACCTGAGTTAGCAGCTTACCTGCGGCCTGCCAGCTTACCTGCTGATCTTGGGTTCATCAGACCCTGCAGCTACATGAATCAGAAGAAGCCTCCAGCCTGACCCATGGACTTGGGACTTATTCAGCCTCTACAACTGCATAAGCCATTTCCTTGATATAAATCTCTCTCTCTCTCTACACATATACGTATATATATGTATATTTCATTGGTTTTGCTTCTCTAGAGAACCCAGACTAAGACAATAAAATATTAAGTTGAGAGACAATAAAATATTAACTTGGGAAATACTGGGTATAAGACTATGCCAGAAACATATAAATCATAGGGAACAGATGTAGCTCTTCTTTTCTACATGCAGGCAGTCCTCTCACAGATCACATTTCAAAATTATTTAAGTCAAACATGGCTGCTCTCTAATCAAAAATACTATTAAGTATACAAGCTATATAAAAAAATCCATCTTTCTTAAGTATATATAAATTAATTAAAGAGGACAAAACAGTAGCTGATCATTAAATACTGCAGTATGTCAGATTAGAGTTACCACAATGTGTGCCTCAAATTTCTTGGCTTTCTTCATAATTTCTGCATTAACTTTGCTACAAGATATCAAAAAGTAAAAAAAAAAAAATCTTCACTAGGATCACAGAATACTGAAGACCTTCTTAAAGGAGATTTTCACAAGCATGTTTAAAAACAATTGTTTTCAGTGTTTTCTAAACAAGCGACCCAGAAATAGTCTTAATGCTTTCCCTTTCCTATAACCTTCAGAACTGTGAGAAAATAAATTTCTGTTCTTCAAGGCCTCCCATTTGTGGTATTTGTGTGACAGCAGCACAGATTCTGATTCAGTAGGTCTGGGATAGAGCTTGAGACTTTGCATGTTTAACGAGTACCCAGGTGTCTTAGTTACCTAGGGCTGCTATAAAAGAAACACCACAAGTGGATGAATTTAACCAAGAGAAACTTATTCTCTCACAGTCTAGGGGGCTAGAAGTCCGAATTCAGGGTGCCAGCTCCAGGGGAATGCTTTCTCTCTCTGTCGGCTCTGGAGGAAGGTCCTTGTCATCAAACTTTCCCTGGTCTAGCAGCTTCTCCGCACAGGAACCCCAGGTCCAAAGGACGCCCTCTGCTCCCAGCACTGGTTTCTTGGTGGTATGAGGTCCTCCTGTCTCTCTGCTCACTTCTTTCTTCTATATCTGAAAAGAGACTAACTTAAGACATAACCTAATCTTATAGACTGAGGCCTGCCTCATTAATATAACTGCCTCTAATCCTGCCTCACTAACATCATAGAGGTAGGATTTACAACATGTCGGATAAGCACATCGGATAACAAAATGGTGGTTAGCCACACAATACTGGTACTCATGGCCTAGGCAAGTTGACACACATTTTGGGGGGACACAATTCAATCCACAACACCAGGTAATGCTGAGGTTGCTGGTCCAGGGATCACATTACAAAATTACTATTCTAAGGAAACAGAGATCATTAAGAGACACATTTTTTTAAATTCTAATTAGTATCCTCACAGAGATCCAAGAGAATGATACAACCATCTTTTTTAAAAGTAGAAAGGAAAAACACTGAAAAACAAATAGTTCTGTCAAATTAAAAATATTTCCAAATTTAAAAAAAAAAATTTGGACGGGCCAAATAAGAACTAAAATCCAACATAGCAGTCTGGAAAATACTCTAAGACATCTTCTAAAACACAGAGAAAAAGACAAAGAGATGCACAGCATGAGAGAAAAATTAACAAGCATACCCATTAAAAACAACCCATTGCCATCAAGTCAATTCTTACTCATAAGGGTCAATATCTATCTAATAGGGTTTCTGGAGAGAGAAGAGAATAAACACATCATATAATCAATGAATACAAAACATTTTCCCTAAGCTGAAAAAGACTCAAGCCTTGATAGTGCAGGGTCAATTTCCAAGGAGGTAAAGTTTTTTAAAAGCTAAACCTAGATATATATTTGTAACGCTTCTAAACTCAAAAGATATAAAGAAAACCTTAAAACACAGGTTATTACAAAAAACTATGAATCAGACTAGCATCAGAAATTTCATTAGCATTCTAGAAGAAACTGGACTATTGCTTTCAAAGTTCAGAGAAAATTATTTTGAATCTCGAATTCAACTATGAAGGCAAAATAAACACATCTTTGGAAATTCAAGAACTAAGAAAACGTACTTCCTATATATGTTAGTTTCCTATTGCTGCTATAAGAAATTATTCAAGAAGTCCAAAATGGGTTTCACTGGGCTAAAATCAAGGTGTTAGCAGGAGTGATCTCCTTCTGGAGGCTCTGAGAAAGAATCCATTTCCTTGCCTGTTCCGGCTTTTAGAGGCTCCCTCCAATCCTTGATCCTTTCTATCTTCAAAGCTACCAGAGGAGAACTGAGTCCTCACACTGAATCACTCTGAATCTGACTCCCTCGCCTCATTCTTTCACTTAAAAGGACCCTTGTTATCACAATAAGCCATAATCCAGAATAATCTTTCCATCTCAAACCCTTAACTTGTGCACATCTGCAAAGCCCCTTTTGCCATGTAAGAAAACATATTCACAGATTCCTGGAATTAGGATATGGACATCTTTGTGGGGGCCATTACTCTGTCTATTCAAGGATGTCCTCCAGAAAAACAAAAACAAATTCAAGAAAAAGGACAATATGGGATCCATGAGTCTGTTCCCCAAAAAGGAAGAGAGTTGAAAAGAAATTAAAACAGAAAAATTGGACTGATATTGGAATCTTCTCAATCTAGAAGTACAAGTTTAGAGAAACATGATTATTATATTTTCTTCTCTAAAAGTCCAATTAACACTACCTGGTTCTAAAGTGAATAATACTCATATACTAAAATATTTTAAAAGCTGTTTATTATTTTTCAATTTTCAGAAACAACGTAGAGCCAAACATCAGAAGACATGAATGTTTACACGCCTAGTTTTGCGTTCTGGCAGATTCGTGACTCCGTACATTGATACCACACTTGCATAAATACCACACATTATTTTTCATATGCAATTATCCACTGGGAACTGAAGTTACTTAGTAATGGTAGAAAATAAGAAACACAGCCACAACTAAACATATCAAATGATTGTAAAATGGGTTTTATAAAATAGGTATGAAGGAGAGATTAAAGTCAATTGCGAATTTTTTTAACTAGCTGATGATTTATGGAGTTGCATATTATGTTCAATATTTACTCTTATTTTAATATCTAAAAAGATAGATAATATGTAACATTATGAGACGATAAAGAAGAGGCACTCTCAAAACTATAGGTAGAATATAAAATGAGGCAAACTTTTAGAAGTACAACTTAAAATGTACATACCTTTTGCCATAGTAGTTTCATTTCCAAGAATCTATACTACAAAAATATTATCACTTAGTGTGTAAGATTACTATATAAGAATTCTTCTCTAGCATCATTTGTAACAAGAAAAAAAAAAGGAATCAACCTAAATATTTCATTAAAAGAGAAATTAGTTAAATATACTATGGTCAACCATATTACAGAATGCAACAGCCATTACAAAGAAAGGGGTACATCATTGAAATACGTGTGCAAACATATACTTACGCGCATTTTCTTTAAAGTTTTATATACAGAGAAGAGCTAGAAGGATAAACATAAAACTGAAGCCTATAATTAATCCTTTAGAAGTAAAAGGGGAGTAGATGGATCTTCAGTTTTATGTTACACACATGTTCTGTTTGAATTTTGTTCAATGAGTATACACTACTTTTAGAATACATTTTGCCTTAAAAAAAAAAAATCGGAATTACTAACACTTAAAAACTGAATCCAGAATAATCCTTTCTTCCGTAAACCATAATTGGAGAAAACTGGTTTAGCACGTGACTTCTATGCAGGAAAACCAAACCCTTTTGTGGGATATCTAGTAAAAGATACATGATCAACATTTAAATGCATCATCGTTATTAATAAGTATAACCAGTATAAATGGCAGCATTTTGAGATCCTTAAAGATATACAACTTACTATACTGTAACTATACAGCTACTGACAGACTAAATGAAAAACATCAATATGCTCTTTATCATTGTTTATTAATATTCACCTACCGAATCATTTGCTGCTAGTGCAAGTGCAAGGTTCACTGTAAAAAACAAAAGAACAATAATTAAATTTAGTAATTTTCTTCTATTAAAATTCATTTTGCCTTATAATATTTTCAATGTAATAACCAAAGCACAAAAATTTTTAACGTTATCTCCCTTCCTTGTAAACAAGGAGATGAAGAGAATGCAGAAAGTAAAAAGAATTTAAAAAATATTCTAACTTAAGCAGTAGATGCCTGCCCCAAAATTTGCATTACAAATAACCCATTTATAATTTGTTACAATTTTGTTTAAATAATCCACTTGGTTAAAAAAATTTTTTTAATAGAATATATGGTTTCAATTATTTTCAAAAGCATATTTTGCAGAAAAATTATCTACATCTGTCTTTTAATAAATAAAAATGGCTACAATCCTATTGCCTTTTCAAAATAAATGCTGAGATTGCAGACGTTTGAAGTGGTGAACTCACAAATACCCATGTACACAAAAAGCTAGACCACCAGGTACAGAGGGAAGGGAAGACAGTAAAGAGTAAGGGGGTAAAATGTGTTCCCAAAATTGCCTACGCCAGTGAATCCCAAAGACATAAGGGGAGGAAAAAAGTAGTCCCCAAACCCTGTTCTCTTTCCATCTTTAGCTCAGCAATAGGGATGTGCTATCTCTGAGGAGAAAGAAAGGTCACAGGTTAATACATTTCTAAGACTGATAAACAAATAGACCCGCATGCGGTGATCAGATTTACTTACAGACGAACGTTATAAATGATGCCTGGTTTGTTTCTTTTAAAGTAGTTAAGAGTATAAGCTTTCAAGGCACAACTAGTTCAAATCCCAGCTCTTCCACCTTCTACTGCATAACCCTGAGCACATTATTTAACTCCTAAATCTGTTTCTTCCTCTACAAAATGGTGACAGTTCCTACTTAATACCTGTTGTGAGGATTCAATTAAAAAGTGTATGTAAAGTACTGAGCACAGGGCATGGCATTTGATCAGTTTTTATGAACTATAAAATAGTTCTGAATTTCAGGTATATTAATCCAACTTTTAAATAGAAACTTTTAGAGTTTTTACCTTTGCTGAAGCACTTACTGTGTGTCACACCCTGTACACTTTCTCATATATTTTCTTATTTGTTTTCATATTACATGGCAATAGATGATCTTCCAACTAAAAACAGTACACAAACTAATGAAATAGCATCAATCTATTTTAAACAAGTGCTAACCTACAGATTCAACTAATTACTTCACACAAAACCCAAAGAACTTATAGTAAAAGCCATTAAAACACCTTTGATTTTTAAGCAGTCCAAGTAATAAAGGAGAATGCAAAAGAATTCAGACCACTGAAAGCAGATAAACGTACTTGGAATGTTCAAAAGATAGGAGGAGGTAGATTCTAGAACCAAAGACTAGAGCCTCTAAATTTTAAAAACACACCATCAAACAGATAGATGGTAAGCCCTTAGAAAAGAAAGCAAAAATATATAGGATACAACACAAATTTACTAAGAACAAATCACTAACAATTTTTAATAATAATTTTTAATAATACCATACTATCTCTCAAATTAGCAGTCTATCACAAATACAGTATTTAGTAAATCTTAATTTTCTCAAAACATCTGACAAACTCTTGCATAATTCCCTAGGTCAAAACTGGAAAAAGTAGAGCTAATAACTATGTAGTTGTATTTGTAGATGGTTGAACAACTCTAAACTGCTATACCCAGAAAGTACCGAATATGGCCTACATGTCATCCCACTGGAAGATGTCTAGAGACATTCACAGGATTCTCTACCTGGCCCTGCTTATTTCAAAATGATAGTGACTTCTGAACTTCTGGGCAACAAGGCACTATAGTCAGAAGCACCACGCCGTCCCTCCACAGCAAAGATCAGAAAAACTAAGTCAAACAGAGTCACCCGTCAATCCTGAAACCCCAAGCATGAAATGAAGAGATAAAGAACTCAGCCAAGCACCAAATGGAATAAGGAACTGACCGAGAACAGAGAGTGAGGAGACATACATGGATAGGTCCCCTATCAGCTACCCGCAGCATGGATCCGCCATCTTGGAATCCTATCGGAGATCAGCGAACACGGGGTATGAGAAAGCAGCTTCACAGAACTTCAAGCAGGAGAGAGAACAACCGGTAACCAGCGATATACGCTTTCCCACCCCCCACCCTTCTTCACCCCCACTTGGCCTCCTCTGCTTCCCGCAGCCACAGTCTCTTAGCTGGGAAGCACCGGTTTCACCCTGGTGTTCCTGGATTCCACCCAACCGCACTGGCCAGCTCCCTAAGCGCCACTTGTTGGCTGCTGGTGTTGCTTTTTTCTGCTTCTTTAGATTTCTTCCTTAGCTCTTACCACCTCCCCCTCCCTTCTCTCAAATACCTGGCTCCATGTGCCACCTATACTCCTTCCTGAAAGGCTGTGAAACACCGCTCGACTGTGAAACTGCTTCCTGGCCTGTGCCACCACCCTGGTGGGACCCCTGGGGCATTTTGTTTGTTTGCTCTGATTTGTTCTCCTTTGATTTGTTTGTTGGTTTGTTTTCTTTTTCTTTTCTTAGCTTGGGAGCCCCTTCTAGCCAGGCAGTACCACGTGGCTTGGAAGCTACTCTCTTACTCCATGCAGACACACAGGGACATCACTGGGGGCATTTCATTTTCTGGGGTTTTTTTTGTTTTTGTTTTATTGGGTTTTTTTGTTTCTTTCTTTTGTTTTCCTCTCTCTCTTATTCCCTTTTTATCTTTCTTCATTTCCAGTTTCTCAATTTACTCAAATTTTTCTTTTACCCTTTCTCTTTTTTTCATTTTTGTTTTTCCCCATTTATCAGTCTCTCATCTCTCCACTCCAATAGCAAGCTCACTTAGCACTCTTCCTTGTTTGTGTATATGTTTTTGGCTCCTGTTCCTCTTGCCTCTCTCTCATCTTTCCCATACCCATCTTAGCTCCACACATCACAATCTCCCCCCCTCATTCCTGCCTTCCTGCACCATGCGCTGAACACACTCCCAAGCAACACGGGCAAGGCCTACCAGAACCTGCCCTGCACTGATTCCCAGACTGCACTGTCAGCCCTAGTACTTGCCACAAACAACACATCCCAGCAACTCCCATTCAGCTGGACCTGCCCTGCTGCACCATACATGAGTGACTGACCCTGCCCATTGGAGAAGAAGATGAAAAGTATCCTGCCCACAGATGAGCAAACAACAAAGAACACAAAGCCCTGCCTATTCAGATGTAATTAAATAAAACAATAAAAAAGGACAAAACAAACAAATATACAATCAATAAATGAGGAAAATAACCACTGAATGCCCCAAAGACAACAGACAATATCAAAACATTGACAAAAACAGGACAGGATTGTTCCAGTAGGCGTCCAAAATAAAACACCACATGACTTTCCAGTAGAAGAAAAGGCATAGAACTAACTGATAGGGAATTCAAATCCCTAATATTTAGAATTATCCAAGAGTCAAAGCAAAAAGCAGACAAAAATGAGGAAAAAACAGACAAATTCATGGAAAAGGCAGACAAATTCATGGAAAATACACACAAAAAAATGGAAGAATTCAAGAAAATAATACAGGAACAAAATGCTAAAATAAATGCACAACTAGAAATCATACAAAAACAACAATTAGAAATCCAAAAGATAAACGATAACATTTCAGAAATGGACACTTTGAAACGATGGAAGATAGGATCAGCGAAATTGAAGACAAACACCTGGATAAAACTCTGAGGAAAAAACAGAAAAAAGAATGAAGAAAAATGAAGAAACCCTAAGAATTATGTCAGATACAATGAAAAGCAAAAATCTGCGACTGATCAGAGTTCCACAACAGGCTGAGAAAACAGAAAACACAGAGAGGATCACTGAAGAATTGCTGACAGAAAACTTCCTCGATATCATGAAAGATGAAAAGCTGACCATCCAAGAAGCTCAAGAACCCCATATAGGATAGACCCCAGAAGAAAATCACCAAGGCATAGCATAATCACACTAGCTAAAACCAAAGACAAACAAAGAATCCTGACAGCAGCTCAAGAGAAACAAAAAGTCACATACAGAGGAGAAACAATAAGACTAAGCTCAGATTATTCGGCAGAAACCATGCAGGCAGAAGGCAATGGGATGACATATACAAACCTTGAAAGAAAAACATTGCCAGCCAAGAATAATATATCCTGCAAAACTCTCGTTCAAATATGATGGTGAAAATAGGTCATTTCCAGATAAACAGAAATTAAAGGACTATGTAAAAACCAAACCAAACTTACAAGACTTATTAAAGGGAGTCCTTCGATCTGAGAACAAACAACATCAGACCACCTGAATACAGGACACAGGATTGTACTACCCAGATACCAATCTAGGAAATGAACTCTTAAGGACTACCCGAAACCAAAAGAATTACAACAGGGAACCAGAGAGGTTAATCTGTAAATGACAACATCATCAGAACAATAAAAGAGGGAATAAACGGTGTAGGGATAGAACCTTCTAATGGACAGGAAGACAAGTTGATACCAAGTAATAATAGACTGGTTCAAACCTAGGAAGATAAGGGTAAATTTCAAAGTAACCACAAAGAAAGTTAACAAACCTACTCATCAAAATAAAGAAGAAAAACATAAGGTCTCAGTAAAAACAAAACCTACAAAAACAAAA